AAATTGAATAATCAGCGTCAAAGCATTTAAAACTTCACATTTATCGAAGAAGAAGTACGCTAGGTGGCCATCACTTTAAATTATATGGATTTTAGGCGACATACCATGGACATGAACCCAGGCTGGTTCCACAGGTTCTTGTGACAGCCGTTGACAGATTGGTTCAAGTTATACAATATATGTAGTTGCACCACCACAGTTTTCACGTATCAGCAAACAATAGTGAACAATGTACAAGAGTAAATGTTTCAGAGGGGAAACAAATGTGTTTCGTTTGCATTTCCTAATCCTGATAATTGACTAGACAGCTGTAACGGACCTTCGCTGTGTCAGAAAATGAAGGCTGATGAAAACTTATAGAAAAAATCTCATGAACGGCATGGAATGGTACCCTGTCGACAGATTCTAATGGAAGAATTAAAAACCTTCTTCAACATTAATCTCAAAGAAAAAATAACTGTGCATAGTTATATCTAACCTCAGAACAAAAGGGAAGATTTATTGTAGTAGGCATTCAACTGCATTATCACAATAACTGCGGAAGAGCGGGAGACGATTTCTGCGAAGGTGCTTAGATGAGATGAGAAAAATCTGCGCAGATGAAACCTAACAGTACGCAGTCTTAGAGATTTATTTGTTTCACAGAGGCATGGAGACAATGTTACACTGACACCGTTAACAATGGAACTGTTCATAACATAAAGCATATTGTGGAAGAGGTCAGTAAGGAGTGAAAATTCCCAGAACCTTGGAAGTTTAGCGAAAACGACAATAAGTAACTTAGCTCTCACAAATGGAGATGAATGCAATTGTTGAGTTACTTACTAACGATTTTTTAATTAAATTTTGCTTGTCACTGATACCAGCTATAAGGCAGGCTCGAGTAGAAGGATTCTCTTAGACCAGGCCATTCAGCCGATTACGAAGAGACTGAAACCAAATTCACGATTTTTAGATGCGTGCAGCTAGTTTTCATTGCAATGTAATTCACGTAATCGAATCGAATAGGAGCTAGTACCGTCTCCAGGAGACATAACTCGTTAAAACGACTTCTCATAGGAATGTAGCTGCAGAATTCATGGAGGGATTACAATACGGTAACGAAATTATTAGGGGCAAAGTGGAGGTAAAGTCAGATGCTGCAGAAATTTAACATACATGAGTACAAAAGTAGAAGGATGTTCGTGTCAGAGAGGCGCAGAGCAATCAACCAATCATCACTTTGGCATTGGCACCCTTCGATGCAAACGATGGAGTGCATGCGAAGCTCTGGCAGAAGAAGCAATAAGAGAATCCAATTGGAAAGTGTACCTTATCGAGTGCAAGCACCTTAAGAGCGATTCACTTGGAGCTGCCGCCTAATACTGCGGTTGAAAACGAGTTGGCCAGCATCCCAGGGGTCCTCAGCATCCATCCGTCCTAGGTCCTAGTCCTGACTGACTGGCTGACTGACTGACGGATGGACTGACTGACCGGACAAACTGGCCACCAGACTGACTGACCAAGGACTGACTGAATGATTGATGGACTGACTGACCGACTGACTGACTGAGTGTAAAAGTGCTGTTTGAGAAAAACACAAATTGGTCATAGTTACTTTAACATTACCTTGTATTTGGCCTCCTTTGTCGCATCTGCCGATTGAAACTCGCAGCCGGCTAGTGAGAATCTCAGACATGGGTTTTTCTCGAATTCTACCACTCCAAGCAGAATGTAGCGTGCACGAATCGTTGGATTCAGTGTAAATGAATAAATATCGTTGTCGTTGCTCGACTGCATGTTGAACTCCTAAAAGTACAGGCTGACAATTGAATTTCTGGCGTGAAATGACGGGGAAATATTAAAATGCAGTTTATGAAAACACTGATTCTATTTCGAAACACAATACATACTGCTGGCGTTTCTGCTGATATTTCATACGAGTCACATCTACTGTTCCACCTCTTATCTGATTACTGTCGGTTAATATTTTCTTTGGGCAGTTTCTGCTTTTTAGTTTCTCTAGGTTGTAGCATTTGACGACTATTGTGCATCTGACAGAGTACAGCTTATTAACTGATGAGGTTGAAACTTCATTCATAGATCTGTCTATTGGTTGGAACCTCTCTGGAGCGTTGCGTTTAACAGATCATTCAGTTTGCACGATTTGTACGATATGATCATTCATCAATTTTCTGAGCCCGCTTTCGTTTTCTCGGTCAGGGTAGCATGGAAATGTTGATTCAACAGCACCATCACCCTCCGCCAATCGAAGAAGCTTCAAAAAATGGATTCCAGTAGGCAGCGATGTCTGATGTTCGATATAACAAACCTTAATGGCCTTCAATTTAGCGATGGTCTTCGTCTTTCTACGATAGTTTTGACAAGGGAATGCCTCTGACAAAAATTTCCTTCAGCATCTTCGTTGTATGTTCACTTCATCGCGATTGCCGTCTCTCGAACTGGAAAAGGCGATTCGTAAGTAAGGGAATGTGTATATCTCAGATTTCCTTATTTTGAAGCTTGCCAAAATTCTCCGTATGAACCGTAGTTGGTAGAAACCTCATTTCTGCCATTTGCATCCTTGATCGCCTTCTTTCAGTCATGTCCATCACTCGTGACTATAGGAGATGGTAGTGCATGGGAAGGCTGTGCACTGCTTCTCTTCATTATCAAAAAGCGGCTTAAATGCCTCAGTATTCCATTCACAGATGACCATCAACGACTTTAAAACAAACCATTCGCCTACCCAACCAATTCGATTAATTTGGCCTGTATGTTAGACGTTGACAGTTTTTACTGGTACTTAAAATGACGTCAACTCCTTACTATTGGGTAAGTGTCGAAGTTCTGTGCAAATGCAACTTTATAGAAGAGCTGCAATCGCGTCGGATGACCCTGAAGTTTGCCACTGCCTCCGACACCAGTGACGCGCAGCGTAGTAAGCACGTAAACCTTTTGCAGATCGATGGACAGAAAAATGAACGCGTCTTCTCGGCCGCACCACCCACTTCTGTGCATCTGGGCTTTCTAGAAAAACGAGAAATGAACAGAATTATTAGAAATATAACTTTAAAATTAAGAACAGGCAAAAGTTCATAATAGGGAAGCTGAAATTATGATTATCGCTAAGACTTCAGTAAAGGAGTCATGGCAAAATACCGCCGGGTAAAATAGTACGTAGAGTTGCGCTTATTTGTGGTTCAGTATTTTATTCTGTTATTTAGCAAAAACCTGCAATTCTCTCAAGGCAGTGTGGCACTCTTGCTTGGCTATGCACATTTATTGCGGCTCGTGAAAGGCTGCCGAAACGTTAAATTCATCGTTTCTCACGGCTCAATTTATACTCCAGTGGAAGCTGCGAAAGGCCACTAAGATCCCACGCCCAGATGATTTATCTCTGGTCATATGCGGCATTGCGAGGTCGTTATTTCCATCTGGTCCTGTTGTGTTGCTTTCATACAACCGATTTTGAGTGCTTGGGGCGATGAGGTCCATGAATTGCTAGGCGATAACGGGTGCAATCTTTTGGTCGACACGAGTTACACGTCATAGTAGATTACCGCAATGGGGTCGCTAAACACATGCCAGATCGATTTACGAGACCGTAGCAGTTGGATTTTAAATACGAGTATTTGACACCGAATGTCTGTTCTATGCGTTGTGGTCAACCAGCTTCCAGCAAATCGATAGTTACCCAGGTACTTTCAGTTATAATATTGTGAGATAATCATCAGTTCAACTCATAAATCAAATATGAATATATTTTTACATGCGGTTCGTATCCAAGAAATGGAATCTCGGTGTTTGACATGAATGCCGTATCCGGAAGAGGTCTGGAAGATGTGCCAATTTTCTCTGAAAGCGGACATTCAACCCCTAAACAAACCAGTTGGCATGATTAGAATTAGATGCAACGAAAATAAATTGCGATTGCTTCGTTCTCACCAAGAATGCAGCTGATGCTGCTGCTTGGGAATGGGAGGTAGCCTGGCCGAGTACAGTTGAACACGGCATGTGAGCCAACCTCAAATGATTCGACGGAGACGGTGCTGTCGGGA